CCGGAAGGCATTAATATTGGGAACATTTCCAAGACATCGGGTGGTTCGTGCCTAGAGCTCCGGAAGGAATTAACATTGGGAGGATTTTCAAGACAGAAGTTTTTTGTATGGCCAAAACCCATGAGCTGAGGAGCTCTATAAATAGAACATCAGATGAAGAAAGAAGGACCTCCGACTCAACACACAAAATCTATCTCTTTATCCTGTACTTTTCAATTCATAGTCTAGGATTTTATCTTTCAAGTTCTTTAGATTATCTAAGTTCTTCGTTTTCCTAGTGTAAGCTTACATTCTTGCAATTTAATTTCAATTGTCTTTACATTCAAGTTTAATTCAAGTCTTTTATCGCTTTAATCTACATTTCTCGCATTTACATTTCTGTCATTTCGTTTATTGCATTTACATTCACTGCCCTTATCACAAAAAATTCTAAAAATAGTCATACAAAGTTCAATCATCCTTGACCTCAAGGAAGAAAAAGAACCTAGGCCAAGAGGAGGTTCCTTGCTTGGTCGATCAATCGTTTGATTAGGAAGTCAGAAGCGCAAACACACTCACACAATCTTTCCATCCAAGCCATCAAGTGGTTTTGTGGTGGCACGCCTACGCATCTCAAGAGAAGAAGGACCAAAAACTCCTTCCGTCGGCCTACCCGGCCGAAAAAAGGGAAACTTAATTTGGCACGCCCGGTGGGACTACTAAAAAAATTGTATAGTTGTAAACACTAGGAGGAATCCTAGAAGAGATCAAGAATTTGAAGAGTCTAGACTTCATTCGGAATCAGACACGGGCATGGCTGGTTCACTTCCTACGAACTCTCAGCCACAAGAAGTTCCGAACAATCAGCAAGGCCAAAATGGCCTCGGCCGAAATGCGGCCTTCAATCTCGACCACGTGCTGGTTGAAGATGTTATGGAGGTCGCTGGAGGACCAGTCTTGAGGCCAAGTCCGGCCACATCGTTGGAAATCCAACAACTCTTCCGTATAATAGAGACGTCGAGCAATCAAAGAATGCAGGAGGCGGCTCAAACGATTGCTCAAACCGTTGCTCAAACAGTTGCTCAAACCATGGCTCAAACCATGGCCACTCAAAATGCTCAGATCAATGAGAGGTTTGATCGATTGCTAGGCCAACAAAATGGCCAAAATGGAAATCAGGCGGCAAATGGAGTGCCAGTGGCAGGGCTTCAAGTGAAGGCTCAACCAAACATCTTTGGGGTGAATCCGCCTCAACCAAATGCACCGGCTGGGGGCAACCCAGCTCTAGCGGTCAACGTTCTACCGATGGGTAATAACCTATATGCGGCGGCCAATCAATTCCAAGGACTCCCGCAGTACAACCAATTCCGCCCACAAGTTCACCAGGGGGCAGGGGTCAATTTCACTAGGCCTCATATAAACCAATTCGCCGGAGTCGGTGCATGGAATAATCTTGGTGGGAATAATCCATTACTAGGAAATCAAGCATTCGATCGAGGAGCGGTCGAGCAGATGATCCAAGATATGGTGCCCCATGCTAGAAGAATTGGTAGACCCGTCTACCGGAGGCCATATCCGGAGCATTTTGATCAAGAGGAATTTCCACGACGATTCAAAGTTCCGGATTTTGCATTATTCTCAGGAGATGGACTCCAGTCGACCGTGGAGCATATTGGTCGATTCACTGCTCAATGTGCCGAAATCGGACATCGCGAGGTCTTGAAATTAAGGCTATTCCCGAGCACCCTCACGGGGGCTGCTTTTTCATGGTATGTCAAACTTCCTCAGAACTCTGTTCCAAATTGGCAGACTATGGAGCAAATCTTCCACGAACAAATTTATCGGCCAGAGCCAGATGTGTCAATGGCCGACTTGGCCAAGATGCGCCAAGGACCAAACGAGTCAGTCCAAGAATACTTGGGGAAGTTCAGATAAGCAAGGGCTAGATGTACGGTCAACATGCCTGAACATGAGTTTGCAAAGTTGGCTCAAGGTGGGTTGTTGCTTGACCTCTGGAAGAAATTCGAGGGTATTGAATTCCGCGATATTTATGACCTCCTACTTCGGGTGGATCGATACGAAGCTCTTTTAAAGGAGGAACAACAAAAGAATCGGCCGATATCTCGACCGACTTTCTATAGAGATCTACCAAAACCCTCCACATCTAGAACCACGGCTGTCCACGCGGTGGAGGTCGAAAATGTGGACTCGAATGAGGCGGACGATGAAGTCTTCCTAGAAGAGGAAGAAGAATCGACCGGGGTAAACTTGGCTGAAATTGTTGCCAGCGAACCACGCGTATGCAAGGCTTTGTCCAAAGCCTCCAAGGATCAGAGGCCGACAACGGTCCAGATTTCTAAGTTTAGCGGAACTTCTCAAAAGGGAGTCGGAACCAAGTCCTATACCTTTGACATTTCGAAAGCCGAACTAATCTTCGACCAACTTTTAAAAGAAAAGATGATAAAATCGCCAAATGGTCATGATATTCCGTCGGCTAATGAACTTAGAAACAAGACTTTTTGCAAATGGCATAGTGTATGGTCTCATGCAACTAACAACTGCCTTGTTTTTTGGAATGTCGTGCAGGATCTCATTGATCGAAAAATCTTGAAATTTCCAGAGAAAGCTGCAATGGGTGTTGATCAGAATCCATTCCCAAATGCTCAGGCCAACATGGTACATGCCAACTTTCCAAGGCCAGATCAACCTCGACCAAGATTAGACTCGGGTGGCTCCGAAAAAGCAGCAGCTGAGAGAAGAGCAAGGGAGAACCAGACGGATCCTAAGACGAAGGGTAAGGCCAAAATGCACCCAGAAGTGACAAAGGCTCTAGATGAGAAAATTCCAATTATGGAAGAACCTCTCAAGGCTATTGTGCTATGCAGCCGATGTCAATGTGAGGTCTCATTGGAGGTAGTTCTACCAAAACCAAAGGAGCCGGCCAGGGAGCTGACTAAGGAGACAATCAAGGATCAAGCCCAGATAGGTAGACCAAAAAGTGCTGGGAGAAATATGATCAAAAGTTCGGCCGAGAATTACGGCCCATATAGCCCAAGGGGCACAATGGAGATGAGACCGAATAAACGACCATTACATGAGTACCAAGATAGGTACGAGAGGCCGCGATATCAGCCCAAGAGAAGAAATCATCATATGCCACTAAAGTATGAAGATGTTGATCCGCTGAACCCAAGCCAAGATAAAAATAGAAGCATGTGGGTTTTAGTGGGAGAAGGAAAAAGTCGAGATGTGGCCTACGTATCAAGACCTCGCCCATCTGATGGTAGTGGTGTCCCAACTTTCAAGATGCCAAACACCAAGGCAGGACAATGGTATAGGAGTAGAGGTTCAAAGTTTCCTCCGATACCCTTGAGCAAAACTCAAACAAGAAGGGCTCAGAGACAATATGCTAGCTACCTGTAATGCGGAGTTTAAGTGGGCAGACGAGAGGCAAGCCCAACTTAACCGATTGGTCGACCTTCGAGAGAAGCTTCGACTGGAAGAGTTGGAGTTCGCCAAAGCTGATGTTGTGGCTTCATTAGAAGCAGCAGCGGCCAAGGAGATAAAAATACACCGACAATGGGTGAATGGTCAAGTTGTGGTGACGACCTTAGATGAGCCAATCTTGGAGTTGGAGGCTCATTTGACTGGAGCTTTTGAAGTAAACAATCTCAAGGCCGAATCTAGCAGGCCAATGAAGGTGTTGGGCAATGAGCCATCAAGAGTTGAGAAATTTAAAAAGATTTAGCCCAAGGCCAATCCCTCGACCTCCATGAGGCAAATACCAATTAAAGTGGTGTCACCACCAGAGGTCGAGGAGGAAAAAGAGAACAACCGTGAAATGGTTGAGGATGTCAGAAGAAAACCCCAGACGACGGAAAATAAACTGACAGCAGAGGACCAAGTCATGGTCGATGTCCAAACATCCGTAGTGCAAGAAGAGGCCGAACCGACGGCCGACGTAGAGACCGAAGAGACTTCAGAAAACCTAGGGGGTGCCTTAGCCAATGATGAAGAACTTTATGGGGAGAATGAAGAGTATGGTGATGACGAGTATTTTGAAGACCTCCCAGAAGAGGCTATGGAGCAACTAGCTAATGAGTGTAGGGAAGAGATTACCAAGTTGGAGAGTGAATTGAAGACAAGTAAGACCAGGGTGAAGTTTGGGGACTTCGACGAGGTTGATGCTATGGTGGTCACACTTCCACTATTTTTTGAAGCTCAGCCAGGTCAACCAAACTCCATGGAGGGAGATGTTTTTGATGAAGTCGAGTCTATGGTTCAGATGGGAGAACCAAAGGAAATCGAGGCGATTCGGGAAATTCCGAAGGCAGAAGTAGCTCGGTCTCAAATAGTAATGCAGGGTGTGGAGAAGAAAATGCCAGAGAAAGTGTGCTTTGAAATGCCCACCAAGAAGATGTCTTCCCACCTTAAGCCTTTATACGTAAATGCTCACTTTGATGGGGTTCCAGTGAGCAAAGTTCTAGTTGATACGGAAGCCACGGTGAATATCCTCCCAGCTTCAGTGATGAGGAAATTGAAGAAAAGCTCAGAAGAACTAATTCCGACTGAGACGACGGTTAGTGGTTTCGTAGGAGACACCACGATATCGAAAGGAATCGTCCCACTCCAAGTCAGAGTAGGGGAAAAGGTCAGGGTGACAGCTTTCTTCGTGGTGGAAACAACGGCTCACTTTACGGCGTTGTTAGGTCGAGATTGGATTCATGGAAATATGTGTGTCCCTTCCTCGCTCCATCAAACTCTACAGTTTTGGCACGAGGATGGGAGCGTGGAATTGGTTCAGGCCGACTCACGGCCTTTCATGGCTTCAGCCAATGCGGTGGAGGCCAGGTTTTACGAGGATGATCTTGGTCCTCTTTATTTTACAGGGTCAGATATGAACGGCCGACCTACGGGAGTCTCGGCCAAGAAGTTGATAGACTTGGGGGCACACGATGCCCAAGCAGATGGGGAGCGCCCCACGATGTCTGATTTTTTCTCTCTCAATGAGTGATACAACCATGAAGGAAGAGAAAAGAGCCGCGGTGGAAGACACTTTGAGACGGCTATATGGTTTTTGGGCCGAGAGAGCGGCCGAGCATGGGTCCACAAGACAGCCTTTAGATGTCCGAAACTTAGAAGTTTATATCGACGATGTGGTTGTGAAGTCGGAATCGAGACCAGGTCATTTGGATGACCTTCGGTTAGCCTTCGAGAGAATGGGAAAGCATCAATTGAAGATGAACCCAAAGAAATGTGCCTTTGGGGTTTCCGTCGGAAATTTCCTAGGATTTTTGGTACATCAAAGGGGGATTGAAATTGATAAAAATAAGGCTAAGGCCATCATTGAGGCGCCGCCCCCGAAAAACAAGAAAGTATTGCAAAGTTTGCTAGGCCAAATAAACTTCCTTCGAAGGTTTATAGCTAATTCCGCTGGGAAAGTCGAGCCTTTTTCATCTTTGCTAAAACTCAAGGATGAGGAGAAATTTCGATGGGAAGAAGTTCACCAAAAGGCATTTGATTCCATCAAAGAGTATTTAACCAAGCCACCGGTGCTAATCCCGCAGAAGCGAGGCCGAACTTTGAAGTTATATATTTCGGCCGCAGAAAATTCCATCGGAAGTCTTTTGGCCCAAGACAACGATGAGAAAAAGGAGCAAGCAGTGTGCTACCTAAGCCGAATTCTAACGTCCACCGAGAGAAAATATTCACCGGTGGAGAAACTTTGTTTAGCCTTATACTTCACCATAACCAAGTTAAGGCACTATATGTTGCCTTCCGTGGTGCATATAATCGCCAAGACTGATTTGATCAAGTACATGCTCACTCGGCCAATCATTAGAGGGCGAATTGGAAAATGGACGATAGCATTGGCAGAATTCACCTTCCGATACGTACCTCAGCAAGCCGTCAAGGGGCAAGCTTTGGCTGATTTCTTGGCCTCTCACCCTTGTGTTGAAATAGAAGACATGGACTTCTTCAAAGTCGACATGATAAGTTTATTCCCATGGCGTCTCTATTTCGACGGATCTCGAACATCAAATATGGGGGGAGCAGGTGTCATCATTGAATCACCCCAAGGATTCCGAACTCGTTATTCATTTCAATTAGACTTTGATTGTACCAACAATCAAGCCGAATATGAGGCCTTGATCATTGGGTTGGAGATTTTGAGAGAACTTGGAATAAATAATGTGTCAATCATGGGGGATTCAATGTTGGTTCTGAAACAACTATCCGGCGACTATAAGGTAACCAGCCAAGCATTGCTTGGCTATCATGCCTTGGCCAGCCAACTAATAGAAGGTTTTGATGAAGTGAGACTCGCTCACCTACCAAGGGAGCACAACTCACAGGCCAATGCAATGGCCCAATTGGCCTCTGGAGTTCAGATCTCTGAAGGGTTTTCTGAGGAGTTATTCAAAGTTGAAAAACGATCGTTGCCCACAATTTTTGAAAGAGGAATACCAATGGAGGTGATGGCATTGACTGTAACTCCAGATGACTGGAGACACGACATTGTGGAGTATCTGAAATGTCCAAGTGGTCCACATTGCAGGCAGGTTCGGAAAAGGGCCATAAGCTACGTGCTCAGGGATGAAGAGCTTTTTCGTATTGGCTCTAACGACTTACTCATGAAATGTCTAGGAAAGATTGATCAGATGGTGGTTATGACTGAGGTTCATGAAGGAATATGTGAAGCTCATCAAGCAGGCATCAAGATGAGATGGTTGCTAAGGAGGCATGGGTATTATTGGCCAACCATCCTGAAGGATTGCATTGATTACGCCAAAGGATGCCAAGGATGTCAAAGGCATAGCCCAGTTCAGCATGTCCCGGCCGGGCCCATGAATCCTATTGTGAAGGCTTGGCCTTTCAAGGGTTGGGCAATGGACGTGACTGGCCAGAATCACCCAAAATCGTCCAAGAGTCACAAGTTCATTTTAGTGGCCACGGACTTCTTTACAAAATGGGTAGAGGCCGTACCACTCAAGCAAGTTACCCAAGCTGAGGTGATAGAGTTTATTGAGAAAACTATCATCCATCAATTCGGATTACCAGAGTCTATCATGACTGACCGAGGAACGGCTTTTGTGGGAGAGGCTGTCAAGGCAGCCGCAAAAAATTGGGTAGTTAGGATGGTTTAGTCCACCCCATACAATCCTCAATCAAATGGTCAAGCTGAGGCCAGCAACAAAGTAATAAAAGGGATTTTGGAAAAAATGATTGAGAAAAATCCTAAAGAATGGCATTCTCTCCTCTCCAATACCCTTTGGGCGTACAGGACCTCTAAAAGGTCTGGCACAGGGACGACACCATTCGCACTCACATACGGCCATGACGCCGTCTTACCTCTCGAGATCTCGGTAAAATCTTTAAGGGTGGCTCGCCACGCTGAGTGGAGTAAGGATGAATATAACCAGACGATGGCTCAAGAGTTAGATGATCTCGACGTAGTTCGACTTGAGGCTTTAGATAAATTAAAGGCCCAAAAAGAAAAGGTGGCCAGGGCGTATGAAAAGAAGACTAAAGCCAAGAGTTTCGGAGTTGGAGTTTTAGTATGGAAAACTATTCTCCCATTAGGAACGAGAGATCGTAGTTTTGGTAAATGGTCTCCAACTTGGGACGGACCTTTCCTCATCAACCAAGTTTTAGGAAAAGGAGCATATAGGTTGAGTTATGAGAGTGGTCGTCTCCATGATTCACCTATTAATGGCCGTTTTTTGAAGAAATATTACCCAACGGCTTGGGAAATGATGGAGAGGTAGTTCGCCGCAAAGAAACATCTCATAATAAAACAATGATTTTTTATTGGAAGAACGGGCCTCATAAAAAGATTCCTTTCAAAAGATATACAAAAGTCTACTACAAAATGGGTCATCCAATGGCCAAATATGAACCTAAGCATTAGGGAAAAGGGTGCGAAGGGCAGTCTTGAAGCTCTTCACTGCAGTATCTCCGATCGACAAGGTAGACTGGAGGGTCTGCTTATTCTCTCGGTACGCTTCCACGGCTGCCGCATCCTGTCGAAGTTGAGCCTCGAGAGGCTTATTGCTCCGAACAATCTCGGAGACTTTGGCAATAATGGCGGCCTTTTTCAGGCTTTTTTTCTCTTGAAGCTGCCTCACCTGCTCATCAATATCCGCGGTCTCCTGTTGCATCTGGCGGGCAATCTCGATCTCCTTCCTCATGGTTGCATTATGTGAGATAATCCGCTGCTCCAGGTCTTGGCCTATACTTTGCTCCTCTAGGAGAGAACGGCGACGAGGGACAAACTTCTCCACCCGACCAAAGAGATATGTGATCATAGCAGCTGAGCATGGGTCTAAAAAAAAGCCGGAGTTCGCCAAGGTCTCAATGGCAGTCTTGAGCTTGTCCCTCTCATCCTTGTCCTCTAAGGACATGAGGTCTCTATCTCTGTATGACCGAAGTAGGGCCTTAGCCCCTGAATTTGGTAGGGCCCCGATCGTAGTGGAAGAAGTGGCAAGGCGAGTAGAAGCCTCCGCCGAAGATATAGATGCATCCCACTGATCGAGGAAGTCAAAAATGTCACCAGAGGGCTGCGAGAAAAATGGGCATTGTATTTTCAAGTAGGGAAAGTAAGTTGCATATGTATATATGTATGCATTTCTTGTTTTCATACCTGATCAGGGGATGATTGAGGTGCTTCTTCGTGAGGGACCATGGCCAAGCTTCCACTATCCACCGCCGATGGATTCATGGTAATCTCGGCGGAAGTAAAGGATGAAGACTCTCCAACCTAGCAAAATGGTATGAGGGTTAAAATAATGGCACCTATATTTGAAATAAGCATGAAAGTGTCGAGGCTTACCTCGACTTGGAGTTCGGATGGAATAACCTCGACCACCAAGGCAAGAGCTACCGAGGTCAGCATAAGGATGGGCTCATGTGGTGCACTTTCGTCGGTGGGAAAATTGGGCTGAAATTCAGCCTCAGTGGCCGCGGTGTCGGCCGAAGAAAGTTCAGGGCCATAAATGGGCCGCTGACATTTTCAAACATTGAAAATAAGAAGTTGCGGGCAAATATAGAAGAAATTTTGAAAATAGGAAATTTCAATGAACCTGAGAGTTTGGAATGTGTGGGAAGTCTTCCTCTGTCAGCTCGATCACGTGCTCCAGGGCGTGATCCTCGGGCATGGGAGTAGTCTCGTGTGACCCTGTGGAAACCTCTTCCAGGTGTCCAATGGAATTGACCTCGGTTGACTAAGTTTGAAAATGTATTAAGCATAAAAGAAGTAAAAGAAAATTCAAACAGTTAAGGAAATGAAGTTACATCATCCTCGTCCACCGGAGTCATGACTTGCGCCCTAATTTCCGTCTCATGTGCGGAAGGTTGAATTTCCTATATTTTTGGGCGTAGAAGTGAGGTTGGACCAGTAGAATTAATAAATGAAAGTACGCAGAGATATAAGCTTACCGAAGCCACGGGCAGAGTAGTGGCCGATTGCACGGCCCCAATCAAATGAGAAGGAGAAGGTTGCTTCGCCAGCCTTGGGGAACCTGCGACAAGTTTCGTTCAAAAAAAAAAAAAGGGTGCACGGCCAAACCTTGAGGTGAGAGGATGCGCGGAGCTTTTCTAGGCCGAAGGAATGATTGTGGGGGCACAATATTTCTGGCGGGGGTATTTGCTAAAAATTAGGAGGTTTATTTTTTCTTAGAGATACCCATTAAAAATTCAGAAGGATGGAAATGCAAATCTTCAAAAAGGGCAAAAATAATCATGGGGAGTAGTTTACCTTGGACGAGGGCGTTGGGCCTTTTCTCACCCCGCCTAGGATTAGCATCGGCGGGATTGGCGGAGCTCTCTCTCTCAATAATGTCGGCGGGAGGATTTTCCTTCCCGGCGGTGTCAGCTGTGAGAATTGAAGGGTTATAAAATAGGAAAATAGCCAAAATTAAAATGAGAAAACGTGTGGATATTTTACCTTTTGCTTGGGCCTTCTTCTTCTCTTTCTCTTGCTGGTAGGCTAATGAGCATGGGCAATGCCTGAAGATTCTACCTTCAATCTCCGAACATGGTTGAGAAAACCAATCGGCCGACATCTCTTTCCACCAATCGACAAAAATATTAGAGTCACCAAATCGGAGATCTCTAATTGGAATGCTAAAGGAATTCACCAAGTCTTGGTTGAAATTCGTCAAGGCGGTGACTTCTTTTGCGTCCTTGAATTCCGCCCGCCAAGAAGAAAGCAGGTTGACGGAATCCATGGGCGGAATAGGGATGCTCTGAATGAAACCAAGTTGGTAGCCAGCGGCGGCGGGATAATAAAGTTCACAACTGCAATGATAATTGCCACCTTTGTTCACCATTAGGCCGTATGGAAGATCTCGGCTGATGAGGATGCTCGCCCACATATTATGTCTCTCCTCCTTTGTCTCTGCTGTAGGATATGAGGAAAGATCCATGGCTAGATAATCCGGGAAACGGTGATCTAAGCAAATGGAGAGATGCTCCCTGGTCTTCTCCTGGCACTCATAGAAAAATCGGAAGCAATCATCAACATAATGCTTCCGGCGTGGGGCGTTGAGCAAGGGCGGACCAAGAAGAGCTTTATTGTTGGGGCGAACGATGGCAGGACTTAGTAACGGAAAATAGAGCTGGAGCCACAATTGAAAAATCCATATAGGGCCAGAAGCATGATGATCCATGGGTTTAGTGATTACCTCACGGAGCCCTCTATAAAGATAGGCAAGAAAGATTGGGCCCATGGCCACTTGATGGCCATCTACGAGTACTTCCGCCTAGGCTTGGAATTCCTTAGTAATCCCGTCGGATTTTGGGCATGCCAAGAACTTGCACAACCACATCACAAGAAAAGCCACATGCTCAGTGTAGGATACGCCGTTGATGGAAGGGGGGTCGGTGGGCTCTCCGCTATGGCCACAATACTTTTTCATCCAACTCCCGAAGGTTTTGATCGACTTGTGAAAATCTAAGCCCACCTTGGCTTCCGGAAGGATGGCGGCCGAGAAATCATCTCCATGAGGGCGAAGGCCGGCAATGGCGGCCAAGTCTAGCAAGTTAGGTGTCATCATCCCGAAACGGAGCCACATGCAATTGGTGGATGAAGACCAAAAGCATAACGCTGCAATAACAAGAGATCGGTCGCAAGGAAAGGCTCTCCCCGCACATAGGAGCAATGTATCATATATTCCGATTTTCTTCCAATGACGCTTCAATTTTGGTTCTAAAATTTTGAACCAACGATACCAATCAAATTTACCTTCTGCCGAGCTCGAGTGGTCGGATTTCCCGGCGGCGGGTGATGCTTTCTTTGATGAAGCTTCTTTAGTTCCGGCGGAATCCATTTTGATGGGGGTTCCCGTTGGCCAACCTTTGAATGGCTTGGAGTTCTCCCAAAAAGTTGCCCATGTAAAGTCTGAAAAATAAGTTGGGCCATTTCTCGGCTGCATCACCCACACCTTCGCCACCTCTTTCGGGTAGGCCGAGAAAAATGGGCCGAGAATATATTGGGCGGAGTTGGGAAAGGCATTGAGGTAGTAGGCAAAATTTACGTGCCCAAGTCTTTGTCCATGGCCGCTTTCATATCTTCGAAAAATTGGGCACTATCGTTTGGAATGGATTCCATCCTGCAAACATGAAATATTATTTGAATCAAGAAAAATGTAGTGGCAAAAAGCAAAAAATGGCCAAGAACTTGAAGAACATTCAAACATTCAAAAGTTTAAAAAATGAGCCTCCAATGGCCACCATTCATCAAAATCACAACAATATCAACCAGAAAGGAGTTCGACATACTCGAAAACTCGTAAAATAACGGATTTGGTGGTGATTTGAATGATGAATCTAGGAAGCAAAGTTTAGGTTTGGTGGGAGAGAGTTGTATAAAAGCAATAGCGATGGAGTTTTGAGTATGGAGAAATGTTTGGAGCCAAATTGGTATTTATAATGCCTAGGTTTTCTAACGGTTATAAAGTTCAAAGATTTCTCAAGAATTGATTAGGGTATCTCCCTAAACATCGATTTAACTCAAGCACCACAAATTGCTACAATAAAGCACGAAGTTGAAACATCCGGAGAAAGCTAAAAAGTCGTAAGAATTTTGATTCACTTACCCTTTCACCAATTGAAGGCCAAGGAATCAAGGGGGCAATGTTTGGATGTAGTCTCCAAATCCAAGCTATGTCAAGTGGTCTCCAAATCCATACTTCAGAAAAAAGAAGGCAGGGGGTGTTGGAAAAATGGCTCACATTAAGTATGCAAGTGAAGGAGGAAGCGACCGGTCGCTGGGTATTTGCGACCGGTCGTTTTGAAGCAGATTCGAAGTCTGAAGAATTCGCAGGAAGCGACCGGTCGCAAGGTATCTGCTACCGGTCGCAAGGTATCCAAAAGGTATCCGCGACCGGTCGCAATGTATCCGCGACCGGTCGCCCGCAGTGCTGTTTCATTTTTTCCACGCGTTTTTCAGGTTCCTTTCACATGTGTTGGTTCCCTACCTAATCCCTCGAGCTTCCAAGGAGTTTTATGGGTTCTAGGAAGTCTAGCAACGTGCTAGAGAAGCTGGAACACCATTGAATGAGGTTTGTTGACTTGCTTCAAGAAGTACCTACCCTATGGCTCTAGATAGGGTGGCTGAAGTTGCAGCTATCAATGCCTAGCCTTTGTTCTGCCCAAGTTGTGGTCCAAGTCTGGAAACCAAGGGGAGAACGTGGGAGGAAAAGATGGAGCCTTCTCC